GCACCCTGCTGGGGAGGGAAACACGGCTTCCAGGGGGCCTCTGTCACCATCGGGGCTCATCTCACACGTCTGCGGTTGCTTTTAGGAACTCTTTGATATAAACCAACACCACTTAAACGTGATCGGAGTCGGCCATCCCTCCCTGGACAGGCTGTGCCGGGTGACGGCGTCCCACGGCCTGCATAGCAAGCTGACTGGGGCTGGCGGGGGCGGCTGTGGCATCACGCTGCTGGGACCAGGTCAGTGACCCTCCGCTCGCCCCTGCGTCCTTCCCCCATTCCATGTTGCCCTGCCAGCGGGGTGAGGTTGGGAAGCAGAGGGATACCCTGCTAGCCCTCACACGGCTGGGATGGGATGGGAAGCCGTGCCACGAGCACGGATGGAGTCTAGCAGAGTCTCTCGGCAGCGTGATTTGCCGTGTGTCACACGGGGCGATCAGCATGTTCGTTTATGTGTCTCAGACCTTGGGGGCACTGGCCCTGCGCCGGGGCCGTGCGTTTAAACGAGCGACGGCCCGTTTCGGCCTCGCTGGCTAACTGGCTGCTCTTGCCTTCCTCTTGGCAGCTGGCCGTGGAAGCAGCCAAGCGAGACTTATGTGCCTGTGGATTTGAATGCTGGGAGACTAATATCGGGGCCCCAGGAGTGACCCTGCACTCCTCCTCGTCTTTAAACGCCGAAGTGCTGCACGCGCTCTTCGAGAGTTAAGCTGCTGCCTCTGGCAAGACTGAGCTCTTGGCACCGTGTCCTCGGAGCAAGAGCGGTGCGTGCCCTGGTGCCTGGAAACTTGTCTCCCGCTCCCCTGTGTGGGTGCAGAGCCAGTTTCAGGCCTGGTGTCGCTGGGAGTGGGGCTACAATGAGGACTCAGGAGAAACGACTTGCACTCGGGCAAGGTGCAGCTTTGACCCAGGCGCTCAAAATCCTGGTTTGAATTTCTTTAACTGCTGTGCTAATCCCCAGGGACAGGAGGAGAGGGTCCTGGCTGGATTCCAGCCTGGATAATGACACTTTGCTTGGTTCCGCCGCTTTGGATGCGTGCGGTGTCTCTTCCCTTCTCCCTCGGCGTCCTGCGAGAGCGGCAGCGAGGCTGGCAAGGTGGATGCGCAGAGCGCTTTGACGTTTTGGGGTGAAAAGTATTTTGGCAGCTCAGGGCTTGACGCTCAGGTCTCCATTTCTCCTGGACCGCAGCTCACGGTGGAGAGGAAACCTTTAAATACAGCTCTTACCTGCTACCAATTAAGAATTGGATAATTAAAATGAAAGGAACGGCACATTTCTAATGAACCTGTCGGTGTTTTCACTCTTTTCTGTTATCTCTGCCTGGGCTGATAACCAGGCTCTGGTTTCTGTTCACGTCCTCGAGATTAGGTTCAGACACCGACTGTCACCTGCAAGGGGGGAGGCTGAGGGCGAGGAAAGTCTCAAAACTCCTGCTGGCAGTAGCTGTTCTGGGATCTGTTGCGCTTCAGGCCTGGAGGAGCACATCCTTCTCCCTTCTCATGCAGATGTAAATGCAGTTGTTAGTGTTGAGATTTTTAACGAGTCCTACCACGGAACTGAAGGGAACTGGCAGGAAGTGTCTGAGGCCAGAGCATCCTGAAGTGGGAAGCTGGCTCTTGGTGGCTGTGGTCTCTCCTACACCTGCCAAAGGGATTTCATCATTGTTCGGTTCGCCTGGGATTTTTGGGTTTTGGTGGTTTTTTCAAATGTAGATCTGTTCAACAATTGCTTCATTCAAAGCCAAGTGATGCATTGGCAGGGATGGGGGAAGCTTGCCTTCCTCTTCCAGGGCAGGAATTAAAAAAATTAAGGATGAGAAGCTGAGGTGTACGAGCTCTGAAATCCCAGCAGTGTGATGACCAGCCTTAGTTCACAGCTCAGACGTAAAACTGTCTCCGGTTTTAATAAATGGGTGGGTTTTTATGTGCAAAGTGTTCTTTGATAATTACGCTGGATACAAAAGGGAAAAAGCACCTTACGCTGTTTCAATAAAAACAGGTTTCAGATGCTGGGTTCCTACATGTCTAATTACAATTTCAATTTGCATCCAAGAACGGCTTTACACTAATCACAAGTCAGAAAGGCTGATAAATTATTTACCGTTTTCTAATACAGTGTAATCAATGTGAGTAGCTGGCAGCGTGCTGACTAACCGCTTCGGCGTGTCTCTAGCTCCTGCTTAGCACAAAGAAACGCCAGATGCGGGGCGAAGAAACTTCGCCGCACGACGGCGGCTCTGGGGCTGATCCTCGTTAGCTGCTTCCCTCGGAAGACGGCCTCACAGCCAAGAAAGAACAGAATAAGAATGTTGATTTGCTGGTTTAAATCCTAATTAAAATCGGTGATTTAAATAGACAAACTCAGGTGGGTGCAGGGCCTCCTGCTGAGCCACCCGTGTCCTTCCCTGGACGGCCAGGCAGGCTGAGTGCTGTCCCTGCTCCGCTCTTCACCCCTTACCCTGCCAGGGCAGCAGCAGGACACCTCGGCTCTACCCGGAAAACAGGATCCTACAACCTGGGACACTCTGCCTGCAAACCCAGCCTTATCCTGCCAGCCTCTGGTTTGTTTGTGACGGAGGCACCGAAGTGACACGGAGAAAGACGGTGGCCGAGCCAAGCAATGGAGACGAGTGAGTGATCTGAGTCGTGGGGCGCAGTGTCGCGGCACACTCCCCGGGAAGGCTCCAGCCACCTCCGTGGGTTTCCTCTGCTCGTCCCGCTCTGCTCCCTGCCAGGGGGTGTTCCCAGGCTGGGTGAGGGTTTGTGGCAGTCGCTGCCCCATCCCTGGGGTGGGTGGGCAGGAGGGTGGCCCTGGGCCTGGGAGACTCGGCCTGGCCCAGGGCGATGCAGGCGGCAGGAGTTGGAGCACTGCCCGGCAGGATGCTGCCTGCCCTGATGTTGGGGCGCTGCCTTCCCTGTGCCAGGGCTTTGCCGGAGCCGGGCGCTGCCTTCCCCGTGCCGTGCAAGCAGAATTGCCGAAGTCAGCAGCTGGAGCCTGTCCCAGTTTGTGAGAAAGAAGCATGGATTTCACATCCATCTCTGAGCATGGGAACGCCTGTGCCCTCCTGGATTCCTCCCTCGGAGGCTTCGCAGGGCCCTCGCTCCAAGCATGGTGATGTCCCCCCTCGCCCGGGTTATTTGGCATGTTCCTGACCCCAATTTTTGTGCTGGAATTACCTCTGGTTGCACCAGCTTGCAACTGCCTCCTGCAATTCCTCAGGTTCCACATGCCAGCTTTGCAGTGGGATGTGGGGGATGCAGGGAACCCCCGCCGTGGCCTCAGGCAGCAGGAGAGGCTCCCCCAGGACTCTCCTGCCCCAGGGGGACGCAGTGGGGGCAGAAGGCGGCACAGCCTTGTCTCTCCCTGCACTTTGCTGCTTTGGGTGCAGAATGGATTCCCATATTAAGCCCAGGGAGCGTGTTCTCCCTAGGGACTCGTCCCCTCCTGTCCCCCAGCCGCGCCACAAGCGCCCGTGTGCTTTCCCGTCTGCCTTGGCCCGTCTGCTCTCTCCGCTCTCGTTTTTACGGATGTGCAGCGGAGCGGTGATTGCTGCTGAAGGATTAGCCTGGTAATTTGGCTAATTTTTCTTGAGCTTCATTTTTCACATTATGAGCTTTGCAGAAAGACTAACGATCCTGGGTTTGCCTCTAAGAGCCGGCGTGGGAGCGGGGAGGGGAAGCTGCGCTCCATCCTTTCACAAAACAAAGATGTACCGGGGAACGCACCGGTGGCTCCGGCGTGGGCAAGCCGGGGGACAGGGGGCTTTCCTCTGCTGCGGGACCCGGCACTAGCTGGGGGGCACCAGCGTTTTTTGTCACCAAGAAGGAAAACGCTTTGTATAAACAAAAAAACTTGCCAAAATGTTCCTTTTCTTTCCCTGCCTGCACGTGCTGCCAGGGCACGGGGCGTCTCGCTGCCCGGGGAAGGCTTTGTGTCCCCCCCTGAGCCGGGCTCCCCCCAGACCTGAGCCCTCTGGGTGGTGTGCCTTTGGGGCCCGGTGGTTGCTGCCTGTCCGCTGCCAGGCACAGATGGTAGCGGTTGTTTTTACATCCATGTCAGCAGTGGCTTCTTTCTGCTCCGGTGAGTAGATGCTGAAGAGGCAGTGACATTATTTGAGAGAACAGAGAGAACAGAAAAAGGGTCAGGGAGAGAGAGGAAATGTCAGCGCGCAGTCACGGGGGGAGCGGTGGGGCTGCTCGGGACCCTCGGGGCTCCCCACTGCTCCTGGGCTCCCTCCTGGGACCTGGGGGGACCCCCT